TTAAAACTCCTAGTTGTGGTATCTTCTTTAAGCTTTTCCTTTCTTCTTCCCACTTCTGGCGTCTGCTTCATCCTGCCTTCCCTGCTATTCTCGTCTTTTCTCAGCTTAAATTGATTTTGCCTCAAGTGTTCCATAGTCTTCTAGCACTGCTTCAAGTCCAACACGTGTGTCAGGAAATTAACTATGGATTATAGACAAAGGATGGATGAGCTTTTTGGTTTTGGAATGCAAATAACATGCATATGCAATGACATGCGAATGTAATGCAGGCAGGATCCGGGATAACATAAGCAGGTCAAAGTTCCCTAACCGGTAGGTTACACTAGGCAAGTTCTATTTTTGTACCCATAGACCCACTCACGGGATAGCTTCTATGTTGATGGATAAGGTTCCCAAGATCACGGACACCGATTGCATCAACATTACGCAACAGGCTAGCTGTATTATAACGAGAGTATGATAGGGTCTCTCCTGAGCGGAGTCCTCGTGCTAGGCACACGAGGAGCGGGTCCTCGGAGACTAATATTACACGACTACTAATATAGAAACTGGTTCTATGAGTGGTTCCCAGAGTCACGGACCCTTCATGAATCAAATCGTGTAACAGGCTAGTTGCGTTACGATAGGATCTACGAAAAGGTCTATTCTGGAGGAGCTTTCATGCTAGGCACACAAGGAGCGAGTCCTTGGGGACTAGCACTACTCGACTACCAATTCTAAACTATGTTTTCCCTCTTCTTTTTCCAAAGCTCGGGTGTAGAGCTTTACTTACAATGTTATCCCTGGTTCCAGCAGGCAGAGATAATAAACAGCATACGACAGAAAGAGAAAATAAGAAATAAACAATAGGAGAAAAATAAATATAAAGAAAACAGTTAAGAAAAAGGTTAGTACTCTTGAATCGATTCAAGTTAGGCTTGACTCTCTCTTGCATAGGGCAATGTTTATCCCCAGCAGAGTCGCCATCTGTCGTACCTCGAAAAATACGATCCTCGCGATAGCCGCGGAAAATACTGTTCGAAACAGAGTCGCCACCGAACTTTATTCATTCCAAGGATGGAATAGGAAAATATCGATAAAACCTTTAAGGGGATAAGAACATGGTCATCGCAGCCAATATTCTAGGTTCGGGAGTCGATTACATGAGGGGAAGGTATTAGCACCCCTCATGTCCGTTGTACTCAACGGGAACCTCTTGATTGATTCGAGAGTAAAGTTAGCTATGTGTGTTTGTTTTCTTCTAAGGTTTCTCCTATGGGGGGAATGGTGGTTATAGGATAGGGTGCTCGCCAAGGATTGGGGCCCTTGTGCCTACGTATCTTCACTTGTAAGAAGTGGAAAATCAGAGCATTCGTAGTTCGTGGGACTACGGGAAAAAAGAGGGGATTGTGCTCGCCAAGATCATCGCAATCTTGTGCCTACGTATCTTACATTCAGAAGTGAATGAAGAATCAGAGCAGCCGTAGTTCGGCTAACTACGGTAAAGGGTTTGAAAATGAACGAGTGTTTAGGTAGCATTCTAACTGCTAAACATTGGCTTGTCTGCTCGCTAGGGGAGGCTGAAGCACTAGTTTGTTATGCGCGGAAGAAAGGAATAAACAATGTTCTTAGCAAAAGGTGTTTTGGTTGGAAATCGCACGAGGGCGAGGAATTTGTGTTTATCGCATTGGATGTTTTGGTTTGGGAAAGAGAATGGATTTGAATAGGTTTAAGGTTTCGATCGCACGGGGGCGAGAAAGAGGAGTTTGGTTAGGTAATTTGATAGAGAATGACGACTATTTGATTAACGAGACGTCGGCCTTGCAATCAATTAATCGGGATATTATTGGAATGCTAGAACCCAATAACACGTTTTTATTCGAATAATTACGAAGTATGTTTGAGAACGTTTCAATCGCGTGGGGCGAGAGCAGAGAGTTGGAGTGGATATTTTAAGGGAAAATGACGACTACTCGATGAACAAGACGTCGGCCTCGCAATCAATTAATTGGGATATCATTGGAATGCTAGATCCCAATGATACCTTTTTCACTCAATTAATTGTGAAATTGTATTTGAATGGACAATAACGATATTGGTCCAAATAGTTAGGGCATGTAACTTATATACGAAAGGTCGAGTAGTCCACAACCTAAAGCGTACGCCCCAAGAGTGGTTACTAAAGAATTCAAGGAATGCGAGACTCCAAGAACTCAATTCTTTCGCAGTTTAGTTAAGAAAATAATTTTGGATTTGACGTACAGTTTAGAGTCGTACTAGGGTTTAGACTCGATCGTATGAAGGTGAGGAACGAGATTAGATGGTTTGAAAAAAAAAATTAGGAGGAATGACGACTACTCGATAAACGAGACGTCGGCCTCGTAATCAAATCAATCGGGACACCATTAGAATGCTCGATCCCAATGATACCTTTTTCATTCGAAATATGTTTGATGGATGGTTTAGACGCGGAAGAGTTTGAATTGAAAGAGATTTTGATTCAATCACGCGAGGGTGAGAAACGAGGTTAGACGAGTTGGAAATTAGGAGGAATGACGACTATTCGATAAACGAGACGTCGGCCTCGTAACCACTTAGTCGGGATATCATTGGAATGCTAGATCCTAACGACATCTTTTTCATTCTATTAATCATGAAATATGTTTGTTGGATAGTGAATATTTATCCAAATAATTAGATAAGGTATTTTAGGAACAAAAGTTTGAATGACGCACTATACAAGGCGTACGCCCCAATAGTAATCATTCTCAAATTCGAGGAATGCGCGACTCCCAAGAACTTGATTCTTTCGTGATTTGATTTAGAAAATGATTTGAATTATTAGTGAAGGTAGATTAAACTAGGGTAGGCATATCGTTCGAATTAAGGTTCGCCTACTTTGAAAGATTTAGACAAAATTAAGTATTTTTATGGATGAAAGACGAAACGACCGCAACTCAACGCGTGCACCTCGAGAGCGGTCGCTTAAGGACCCAAAGAATGCTAGACTCCAAGGATCCACCACTTTCATTGATTAATTAAGAAAGTAATAGTTGTTTATATTAAGAAATTAATTATTCTCAAAATTTAATAACAATATTAATTAGGTGTTACAAATTAAATTAAGAAACTAGCCTTACAAATGTTCATTCTAAATAAATAAGATAAATAAATGAATGACAATGAATTTATTAATTATTGGACCAGTTACTTAAATAAAATCATGTTCCTTCCAATATTAGTTAATTTATTAGTCTCTAACCTAATTGTAATGTAATTAAACTAAATAAATTATTAAAAAAAAACCTTGCATTCAGTTTATTCAAAATCCTGAATGATTTCTTTTATGCAGAAGCCATAATAGACGGCCCACACGCATGCCGTTTAATCAAATCCATCATATCTTCCCCTCCCTCCGTGTTCTCTCCTCTAAATCCCCTTCTCTTTCCAACTCTTTTAATTTACTCTCTCCTGAACCCTCTACTTTTTACTCTCAAATTCACAAGAATCCATCAATAACCTAAGAAAATCTCTCCAAATCGTCTCTCATAACACGCTCATAGATCACAAATACCCAAATCCTAGAACGAAAATACAACTTCACTATGATGAAAGTTCAATTCAACCCAGTATTCATAGAGAAGATGAAAACGTGTTCAGAAAATAGAGAAAGTACCTGATCCGAGCAAAGTCCGACGATGACTTCTCCGACGATGTTCGACTGAGTTTTTTGTAAGCACCTCCTTTATCTTCTATTTCACTTCCCCTTTTGATTTGATTCTTTTTCTGCTCAGTATTCTATCTATGTCTTGATGAGAGGGCGTGAGAGCATGGCTGAGCTCACCTTGCTCAGAGTTCTGATGTGAGCTCTGAGGAGGTTTGAATGATGAGCTTTTAGGAGTGGTTAGAGATTGATTTTGGCTGAGTTTTCTTAGGGTTTTTTCGTATTCTCTGCTGCCGCCTTTCTAGGGTTTTTCTTCTCAAAAAATTCCCCCTTCACTAATCATTAGGTCCCCTTTTTATAGGAGGATTCAAAATGTTCTCATACGTGTGAGTTTTGGAGAAATTTTGACGAATATTCCTCCAAGTGTGTGAGGTTGTGAGCTGCAGACCTGCAATGCCGTTAGGGATGTTTTTGCGCAAGGATTTTGTGGGGGGACCAAGGTGATAGTGACCTTTAATTTGTCTGTAGTGTGAAAGAAAATATCTATTGTTACCTGAATTTTTACCACATGTAAAAGATGTTATTTTACTGCCTCACTGTGAATTTTGTAAACTTTTATTGCTATTGGTAATCAATATTTCTGACTTGTTTTTCTGGCTATTTTCGTTGAAAATAATGCAGGGTATACCATCTATGAATCATGGTGATAACTTAAAATTTCTGCGAATTTATCCATAGGCTGTAACAAAGTCATGCTGCCGGTTTTCCCGGATTGACGAAAGTAACCATCAACAAGGGTAAATGCTTTTTCTTATAACCTTCTCTTTGGTGATAGATTTTTACATTGTGAACACTGCTAATTTCTCTGGGTTTTGCACCAATTTTCATGTACATTCTTCAACTTGGTATGACTGAACTGAGTCTGTGCAACGCGCTAGCAGGATTGGGCACCATGTTTGACTTTAGTGTGCTGAGTTAATCCTGTTTCAGAGTTGAATGTCTTGCTGCAGCTACTGCAAGAGAGATGTCATCCAGACTTGGGAGATTTGGCATCAGTGTTTGGAATCTTTCCAGCTTTCTTAGGGTGAGGGGTTGCTGTATGCCCAGCTTTCTTGCCATCAGTCTTCTCTGGAGTGGCATTTTTAGATTTCTTGGAAGGAACTGGGGTTTTGGATGCAGATTCATTGGCCCTCTTTTTCTCCTGGTCCACCTTCTTCACAGGGGTCTCTTCATCATCATCTTCATCAGAGCTATCATCAAGGTCATCATCATATTCATCCTCAAAATCATCATCTTTTCCTCCTTTGGATCAATAACCTTTACTTGTTTTGCAGATGTACCACTCTTAGCAGGTTGATCAACCTTGGCAGGTACACCGGGCAGTAGCTTTCTTAGCTTCAGAAACTTTCAAGTTATCAGCCTTCTTGATGGTATCATAAACAACCATGAAGACCTCAGCACACACAGCACATTTTTGTTCTTGATTGGAAGGTACCGTCATCAAATGGCGTACATACTCTGTCATAGCTTCCCATGGTGATTCAATGTGATTTTTATTCTCAGGTACTTGGTCACATGAGTTAACCGTTTCCAGCATATGATCAGTAAGTGAACAGTTACTGCTTTGGGCCGAGTTAACTTGAAAATTCCCCTCACAATGTTGGTCATTGTTATTGTTATCATTTTCCTTGAACAAATCTAAAATATCAGCTCTTGAGACTGTTGTGCGGTGAACAGAAACTATTATACCAGGAAAACCTTTTTCCCGGCGAGAAATAATTTCACCCTCTGTTCCAAACGAGGATTTCAGTTTCTTGGCTTTGTCACTAAAGGAAGACCCACTAGCATCAGGTTTACGCTTGCCACTTCTCAAATCATCAACTTCTCCAACACCATTAGTTGGTAAGCTTGGTGAAATTGAAAGTTCTCCTGATGAGATCAAAGAAAACAAATGAAAAGTGTCCCCGCGTTGAAGATTTTCAGCAAGATCAGTCCCCATTACGTTGAGGTCTTTGTCCCTTTCCTTCAGCCACGCAGAAAATTTAACAGCTTGCTTTCCAATTTCAAAAGGAAATGGTGACTGGGAAACACTGTGCAAAAACCGCTGTGATAGTTCAAATCGACTGTTGTTTCCTCCAACCATTATTTTTTTCTCTCTAAGATAGTTAAAAGCAGCAAGTAGATCATGCTCTGAATAACGCCGAAGAATGTCTGCTAATAAATTTGGTGCCAGTGGACTGGTAGCGGTGCTTAAAAAAACAAGCTTAAATAGCTCCACGACATTTGAAACAGCCAATGACTCATATACTTGTCCATAAACACTGGGTCTGTTGTTTAGAAACTTGGAAATTTTCATATCAAGACATGATCTTTGGGAAGAAAATGTTTGGGGTTTCCCGTGATGGCTCTGAATAATCTCACTATGAACAGCTGATGTAGTTTTTTTATTTTCTTGAGATTCATATCTATTGCAATTTTCATATTGCAATTGAACATTTTGTGAGGAGGCGTCCAACTTGGCCATCATCTTGCAGCGAAGAATCTCCTCAAGGGCTGTCTTAATACTTTTGTTCTCGAAGTCGTCCCAGGCTTCTCCATTTAGACTACCCTTTTGGATTTCAACATCTGGACTAAAGCTATTGTGAACACCTTTACTAGACTGGGATTGCACAAACAGTCTGCAATCATCTATATTTGATGATAAGTTCTGAGCCTTCTCCAGCTGTTTTGCATAGCGTTCACTGAGCATGCTACAGAATCTATTCACAGCTTTCCTAAGTCTTAAGTTACCATTCAGAATAGCCATTCTTCTCCTACAAGCATGTGGAGGGGCCGGAAGATCAGTAAGTGAGGTCCAATCTGTGCGATGATAATTCGCACCAAGAACAACACGGTGTCTAACATATTGGATCACCAATTGCTTGTCAGTTTTATCTGACCATGTGAATCTGGTTTGGCATAGTGGCCTTATTGCAGTCATTGAAGTTAAGATAGACTGGCTAATAGATGGAGAACAGTCTTGAGAACCCTCAATTTCATAATTACCCTCCTCAAACTCTTGCACATGGGTCACTAGCTCCTCTGAATGAATGTCCACATTATGTTGTTCATCAATGTGTTTGTCCGTAACATCTGCATCAATTCTTGCATATTTTGATGGCCTGAATTCAGGAGAATCTTTCTTCCTGCGACAAGATGAATTACCTTTGCGTTGAAGTGAATTATTTTCACTCTCTTCATCATTTAATTGATTAAGGCCTTGACGACGCTTACTATAATACATGCTAAGTACCTGCTCCAAGGTAAGATTTAGATCTTTTTCAATCTTCTCACAATCCTTGTATGGAATTTTTTCACTAAGATCATGTTTAGATACATGCTTTAAAAGCTCAGCACGTTGTTCAACTGTCATTACGCGATTAGATGCCCATGAACGGAAGCAGAAAACCTCGTGGACCACAGATCCAGGAAATGCATATAAAGCAGCTTTTTTATTAGCAGCAGCATAACAGTACTCCAATGTTCGCCAATATTCATCAACTGCGTATCTATTAGACAGAATAAAATCATGCCTAATTCTTGGTCGAAGATCATGAGACATAAAATTTAAATATGCTTCATCATTTGAAAGGGGTACGTGACGGTGGTATAGATTAGCCTAAAACATCCTGAAAAATTCACAGCTTTGTTGTTGGAACAGCCTTATGGGATTTGTCGAGGACTCGCAGTACCTGCAAGTAGCAAGCATCTCCTAATGCCCTATCCTTGTGTGTGATTTGAAAATGTACAAGTTATCATTGTATTATTTAATATTTGCGGAAATCAAGAATGTCTTTGTCCTTGTAGGTTTCACAACTTGATGATTCTTGGCCTAATGACTTTAATTTCTATAGGCACTGTTTTGAACATAGTTCTTCATAAGTTGTGATATAATCCCAAGTATCCATGATAGAGATTTCTCACAAGTCCACTGCATGCTTAACGTTTTACGGACATAACCCCAACCATTACTTATTATTTGATCCTTATAACTCACTAATTGTATATGAAAAGAAGCATGTCTATATGTGCGGGACCAGTTTTTTTGTAACAAGCCAAAACGTTTCGCAATATATGAACATCACAATCTGCCTTGCGACGTGAATTTTGAACAAAAAGATCTTAACCTTAGTTATGCATGACTCGAATTTAGCACATGTTTTGATCACGTCCTGGACCTTTTAGAAAAACATCCTTCTAATATTTTCTATATCGATGGGATTGGCCTTGGAGCTAATGGATTTGTATAATATATGCGGTTCATTCCTCGAATATAGTTTGTATGGTTATGAACTGATGCATTATACCATAAGCCTTTGAGATGAATCGAAAATATCTTCTAAACTCATTGCATCTAAATTCTAATTCAACCATGACTTGAAATGAACAAGCTAAATCTAAGTTTGTCACAAACTGATTTAGTAGCCCAACATAGACTGACGCTTGCAATTGATTCGAACAAAGCCTGAGGCTAAATCGACCGTGTCCATAAGCATCATGTGAATTATCTTTGAATTAACTTGAATTAAGTACAGACCATAATAAGCAACTTGTAGTGAGGCTTAAACAACATTTAAGGAGAAGTTTGTAATCAAGCTGAAATAGGGTGTAAATTTCTTGAAACTGTGTGGCAAGATAGATCCAATCATATACTTTATGTCATTAATCATATCATGTCTGCCTGATCGTGAGAACGAGGACACACACGAGTTTGGGTACAAGGGGATGGAGGCGCACTCCTCCCATAATAGTTCAGCAGAAATTGCCATGGATTATCACCACAATGAGTATAACGAAAAGTCTTTATAACGAAACCTTAGAGAGCCATGGCCAGAAGTCATGTGGCAGTAGAACATTTATTAAATACCAAAGTAGGACAAATTTTGGGTATGACAGTTATTGCACCATTTTTGTGAACCATGTTATGTTTGTCTACCATGCCTACATGTTTATTATGTTCATGTTTTGTCTATATTCACCATGCCTCAATGTTTAAAGCCATGTTTTGTCAACTAAGATCACCATGTCAATGCATGTTCGCACTTGTTCTTTATTCTTGTGCATCCCAATGGAGGGTTTTGTCGTTGACACTCTTGTCATTTGCATTTGCATTTTGTATATTTGCATCTTATTGTATATATCTCCTTTTGTAACCCTAGAACTGGCTATCCCTTAGAAAGTCTCCCTTAAAATTACCTTTTAATTTAGACTTTTTCAATTAGGATCTTCCCCTCTTACAACTCAAAACCATTTTCATAAAAAAAAACCTTGACCCTTGGTCATTGATCTTTTCAAACTCTTTTCCTTAATCAAATGCTTCAAAACACCTAAGCATATTCAAACCTCTTTTAAGAGACTAAAAAACCCAAAATTCATTTCAAACCATTTTACCACTTTGGCTTTTCAAGTTTAAAACCTTTTCAAATAGATTAGACGCGAGTCATCTTTAGTTGAGAAAGATTTTGACTTCTTTTCCACTAGAGGAAGGTATGTGGCATACTCGTTGATTTTTTATCCGAGTTGGAGCCCTTCTCTCAATGTGAAGCAAAGATCCATTTTTCGCATGTTTGTGGTGGATTAGTGATAACGCGGAAATGTACACTATAATTGCCATGTTTCTTAGCTGTTAACTATATGGTTTCAACCCGAATCCGGACTATTCCGCGAATTTGCTAAGTTTTCTTGCAGGTATCTCACGCTAACTCTCAAAATGAGAAAAACTTAGAAAGCACACAAGAAGAAGACAAAACAAGGGAGAAAAGCCATAAAGTAGCAGGAAAACAGATTTTGTGAGTGTGACGGTCGTCACAACTTCATCACGACCTTCACAGACGTCATGGTCGCCATAAGACCATCACGGTCGTCACAGACAACACGCCCGTTAAAGGAGTGCCACGACCGTCATAAGCCAAATAAAATAATAACGTTCAGAATCTGAACGTGCCCACGAAACAGAGAAAATCTAGGCATGACTTCCCTGAGATTTCTCCCACTCAACCTTTTTTCCTCCGACATCTCCTCATGGAACCTCAGCTATAAAAGGAGAACAGTTGGACCAAAGAGGGGGAGCTGCATTGGACGTATCGAAGTGCTGCCGAAATTTCTACTGCAGCTTATTTTACATTTATGCATTGTTTCCTTCCCCTTTTTTTCCTTTTATTTAAAGAATTTTGTACCTTAATTTCTCACCAAAGTAGAATCTTGCTGACATTGTGGAGGACTACTTAAGGATTTGAGATCAGTACGATTTGCAGGTTTTTATTTATAGAATTGTTACTTTATTTTCCATCATAATGCATATTATGTTATTTTGCTGCTGTTATTTATTTACATTTGCATTAAGTTTCATGTCTAGCTAAATTTCTATTATCGATATGTAATCGGATTAGTAAGACGAGATTCGATAACACCCGGTGCCATTACCCTTTTTTACAAACAATTTTCTGGCCTTAGTTTTTAATCTAATTTTCTAAATAAACCTTCGTCATGAGAGTGAGAAATTATTTACAACGGTTTTGCCACGAGAGTGGGAAATTTATTAAGGTACAAGCCGACACGTGAAAGCGTGGGGTTTGAACCGGATAGTAAAAACTAGGCATTTATTTTAAACGCAGCGGAAGCGCTTTAAAAGAAATCAGAATCTATTTGTTTTCAAAAAGTGATTTAAACCCCGAATGGGACAGCGAGAGCGTACATTCCGCCTTAGAACTATGACCCGAGTCAACAACCATCGTGAGACAAAGGTCTTTAAACGAGTATTTTCTCCTGAAAACCATTTGAAAAAACTGAAAAGTACCGACGACCTGTCGGATCCCCGAAAACTAAAAGCATTACATACTGATATCCTTCATTAATATTTGTTTTAAAACTTAAAATTTTTCTTTACTAGCCTTTAATTTTGCCATTGCTTTCTAAAAACATTTTCTGCCTTAGCTAAACATAGTAACACTCGATAACATTAGGTTGATTACGAGTCCCTGTGGGATCGATATTTTTATTACTACGCGATAGACTGTGCACTTGCAGTTAGTTCCGTTAGACTCAGAAAGTCGCGATCAAGTTTTTGGCGCCGTTGTCGGGGACCCGTTTAGTCAATAGTGCAGTCTTCTGTTACGCAATATAGACTAAGGTAACTATTTTATTTCCCTTTTCTCGTTCATCGATTGTATGCCAAGTACTCGATCATAAAGCAACATCTTACAACCTCCAATCGCCGAACTAGAGCACTTCTTACATCTAAGAAGGCGCATAATCGAATATCAATGAAGACATAATATTCCTGATCTTCTCGCTCATACTCATGAACCTGTGGAAGAATAAAAAATGGTCGAAGGACCTCAGAACAAACCTCTGAAGGACTACGCTACCCCATCTCAACTAGAGCCTCATAGTAGCATTGTTGCCCCTACTATTAATCGAAATAACTTCGAGTTAAAACCATCATTGCTTTCAGCCGTACAACAACATCAATTCTCAGAAGTGCAATGGAAGATCCAAATGAACACTTAACGAAGTTTGTATAGTACGCCGACACAGTGAAGGCTAATGGTGTAACTCCAGACGCAATAAGATTACGTCTTTTTCCTTTCTCTCTTAGAGATAGAGCTTGGGCTTGGTTGTAATCCTTGCCATCCAACTCCGTTACTACATGGGAACAGCTGAAGAACGTCTTCTTAGCAAGATATTTTCAGCCAAGCAAAACTGCTATGCTAAGAGCTCATATCAACGGATTTCGACAGAAAGATTCTGAATCTCTCTACGAAGCATGGGAAAGATTCAAAGATACAATGAGGGCATGTCCACACCACGGTCTTGAAGACTGGGTGACTATTCATAACTTCTACAATAGGCTTCTGTATAATACCAGATTAACAGTAGATGCTGCTGCAGGCGGTGCGCTTATGGATAAGGCATACGACGAAGCCTATCAACTAATCACAAACATGTCTCAGAACCATTGCCAATGGGAAGGTGATAGAACTCCAATAGAGAAACCCGCAGCAAAAGGTGGGATGTACGAGATCAGTAGTCTTGAGAAGGTCCATGCTAAGGTGGATGCCTTGATGCAAAAGATTGACAATCTAACATTAACACCGCCAGCAACTGTAGCTGCTGTGACTTTGAACTGCAAGTTATGTGGAATCACTGGTCACGCTGCACCCGAATGTCAATTATTGACAGGAACCCCCACAGACCAAGTGAATTATGCTCAAGGAAATCCCTATGCGAACACCTATAACCCAGGTTGGAAAAACCATCCGAACTTTTCCTACAAAAGTGATAACGCACTGTATGCACCTAACCAAACACCTGCTGCCCCACCAGGATATCAAAAAGCAGTCGTAGTTGCCCCTAATGCCCCTAGAAAATCCAATCTTGAATTGATGATGGAAAAATTCATATCTACTCAAGTTCAGACGAAAAAGGAATTCCTGAATCAAAACATACACACTAGTGAGCAGATTAAGCAACTAACCAACAAAGTAGACGCTTTAGCCACCCATAACAAAATGCTTGAAACACAGATATCACAAGTGGCTCAACAACAAGCACCTGCCGCTG